TAATCAGTAACTAATTACTGAATACTTCCCCAAAGTAATCCCATTACTTACTGATTACTTATTTTTGAAGTAATTAGTTACTTAGCTACTTTTTAAAAACATTTTACAACCTGAATAGGTAATAAAGTAATAGATCTGTCAGCCCAATTCATCATATAATAATAATAATAATGGATTGGATTTATATAGCGCTTTTCAAGGCACCCAAAGCACTTTACAATGCCACTATTCATTCACTCTCACATTCACACACTGGTGGAGGCAAGCTACGGTTGTAGCCACAGCTGCCCTGGGGCAGACTGACAGAGCCAGGCTGCCATATCGCACCATCGCCCCTCTGGCCAACACCATATAAAATGTAATCAAATGAAAAAGTCTTTTTTTAAAACTTGTTTTATTAGTTTTAATCTTTTAACTTTATGCATCAAGCAAAACTTAAATTATGTGCAACATTCTCTGACTGGAAGAAATTTGTTTAACCAAACATTTAAACCTATTTTCTGCACTTTCCAGCATATAAAATAAAATAGTTTTTTGTGTTTACACTCACTCTTTCAAATAGATGGACGTAAAACACAGCAGAAAATAAATAAAATCAAAGACTCACCAGTCTTGTTGCTTTATTTTCACCTGTATAGCAGGAGTGGGCAGCCGGAGGTTTGCCCTGGTGCAGGTGTGTCGCAGCTGTCATGTCAGTGGAAGAATCCAGTTTCTCTGAATTTCACGTTCCTGTGGCAGTGTACTCGGCGCTGGAAGTTTAGGGGTATTTTTTGCTGTAAAAAGAAGTTTTCTTTCCACGCAGTGAACACCGGAATGTTTTTGTCACTTTTTACGGAATCAAACTCAAAGTAAGGTCAGTAGTTCCACGCTTCAAACGCTGCACGCTCATATGCTCTCCCACACTCATATTTTCCATTGTTGATCTGCACACAGCTGTTGCCACAAACGTCTCACTCGCTTACGTCATTGTCATGAGACACTCTCGCCAAAAAAAAATCACGGTTTTAGTAATGCAGCGTGCTCATGGGAAGGTAACAGTAATCTAATGACCTTTTTTGCAATAGTAATCGGATTACACTAACACATTACTGTAATCTGATTACTAAATGATGATCAGTGGCCACTAGATTTAGCAATTTTAACCCATCTGACCCAGTGGCGGAGCGGGGGTGGCTTACTGGGCTTAAGCCCGGGTTGTTTTGTCAGAAGCCCGGGGTCTTTTGGAGTGTAATTTTTTCATAGTTAGATGCCTGGCTGACAACTGTATAAAACAAAAACTACACACAATATTCGAAGCACATAGTGCACACTGTGGGAATTTACGACTGTAAAAATTGGTATGATCCGAGCTCAGACACTAAGCGGGCGGGGCAGCTGCTGCCTGCGAGTGCGCTGTTGGAGAAACGCAGCCAGGCAGAACTGAAGTTCGACCAGGTACCAAAGCAAATCATTCGTACTGTACAAATAATGTAAATATGACGGTGCATCACGAAAGCTTGATATCAAACTGATCACTTGGCCCATATTACGTTTCTCTTTCTTAGAGTGAATCAACAAATGGCGAAATGAAAAGCCGAACAACAACAATGCTGTTTCTTTAGAGAGTCTTAGCTTACATGTGTGTTTATTTCATATTTTCAGTTGTTTCCCTCCACGGCTAAATAAATCAGTTTCAGTAATGCACTGATATACAAGAATGGACATGAGGAGCTTCTTTCAAAGAAAAAACTCTGGTAGATGTTATTTTATATATTATGCTTTGTATGTTGTTCAGTATATTTCTATGCAAAACAAGAGGAACTTCAATACACAGCAGTTTATTCACAGTTGAAACCAGATATTTACACTTTATGGAAAACACAAGAACATTTTTTTACTGTACAACATCAATTTAGAGTAAACTTTTGTTTTAGATAAATATTGAAATATATTTTGAATTAGTTAAATGTCAGAATAAAGAGAGACAGAGCTTCTATTTTTTATCACTTTGATCAAATTTAGGAGTACATATACATTAAGTTTATTGTTAATTAATAAGAAAACTCCAGAGATTCCATTCTGAGCTGAAGAAGCTTCTGATTGGTAGTAGAGTCCATGTGAGTAAATTGGTGGCACAGCTGTGGATGCATATAAGGCAAAACACAGAGCCTGTTTCTGTGACATGGGAAAATCAAGAGATATCAACCAAAACACTCCTCAGTGTGTGGGATTGTAAGACTGGTACTGGTCCGTGGCCCGGGGTTGGGGACCGCTGTTTAGGGTCTGTCTCTACCAGCTTTGCACATCTAGAGACTGAAATTCTTGCTCATTCTTCTTTGCAAAACAGCTCCAGCTCAGTCAGATTAGATGGACAGCGTTTGTGAACAGCAGTTTTCAGATCTTGCCACAGATTCTCAATTGGATTTAGATCTGGACTTTGACTGGGCCATTCCAACACATGGATATGTGTTAGAGCACTAAGGATTCGCTGAAAAATCCCCAACTGAAGATGGAGCCGAAGACAGAACTGTTACGAAAAGCTGAAGAGAGCAAGCTATCTTTCAAGAAGTGGATCAGCTCTCCACAGTCAACTAGCACTGCTAGTTGTGTAGCATCCCTGAAGATTGTAAAGAGGAGGAAGCCGTTCACAGACGGAGAATTTATGAAAGAATCGTTCATAAAACATCAGAGCATCTATTCTCCGACTTTAAAAACAAGCAGGAAATTGTTCCGAAAATTAGAGAAATGCCTCTTTCTGCAAAGACCGTCAGAGACAGGACCATTAAAATGGCAGAAAACATCAGCAGTAGGCAAATTGATGACATCAATTCAGCTCAGTCATTTTCAATTGCCTGTGATGAGTCAAGTGAACGATGTTGAGCAGACAGTACTGTTATGCAGATATGTCAACTGTTATGGGCCGCAGGAAGAACTGATTGAACTCATACCGCTAAAGGGCCAAACACGAGGGCAGGACATTTGTGAGGCTGTTGTGAGTTGTCTAGAAGCTAAAGGAAAAAACACCACTCACCTGGTGTCAGTGTCTACTGATGGGGCACCCAGTATGAGATGAGCACATTAGGCTTGGTGAATTTACTTCAAAAGTCACTGGATCGATAGCTGATGGCGTTTCACTGCATCCTCCACCAAGAAGCACTGTGCGCAGAAACATTCACCCCGAATGTGTTGAAGTGATGAACCTCGTTATCAAGATAATTGCGAACAGATTAAGCCACCGACAGTTTTGTTCATTGTTAGAAGAAGTCGACAACGCCGATCTCCTGCTGCACAACAAAGTCTGGTGGCTGTCCAGAAGAGGTGCTGAAACGCTTCGCTACATGTCTAGAGCATGTGAAAACTTGGAAGGCTTCCGCTATCCTGAACTGGAAGACCTCGATTGTCTGGGTAAATTTTACTTCATGGTGGATATGACAAGTCACTTGAACACGCTGAATAAAACTCTCCAAGTAAAGGGAAGCACGGCCCTGCAGACGCTGGAGAATGTTTTGGCATTTGAGCGCAAGATGACAGTGTTCGCAAGAGATGGACAAAAAGGTACGTTCTCTCACTTCCCCTCCCTAAGAGAGTTAAAAAAAGCGAACAATCAAAAAAATTATGATTATTCCCACCGTGCCATCATTGCATCAAGCAAGCCTGATCTAGAAATTGAACTGGCCAACATAGTGGATAAAGATTTAAATAAGTTCAAAACACTGACTGCTGGCTGAGAAAAAACCCGAAGAGGATGAGAGAACACTGACATGGACTCTGTAAATGGCCTGTATTTGTTTAGCACCTTACTATCAAATCAAATCAAATCAAAATTTATTTATTTATATAGCACATATTAAAACAACAGTGTTGACCATAGTGCTTCACAGTCAGTATAAGCATGAGACAATTAAAACAAACAATAAAACAGGGCAACAAACAATAGGCAACAACACAACAAGCTAGAACAGCCAACTAGTTAGAATCAAAAGCCAAAGTAAAAAGATACGTTTTAAGACGTGATTTAAAAGACTGGATAGACTCGGCAGTACGAATATGAACAGGGAGGTTATTCCAGAGTCTGGGTGCCACGGTGGCAAAGACCCGGTCACCTCTCGACTTCATTCGAGGTTGTGCTAGGAGCCTGTGATTGGATGATCTAAGTGCTCTGTTGGGATTGTATAAGTGGAGTAGTTACTAGTTCCTAAGGACCCCAAAGCGCTTTACACATTCAGTCATCCACCCATTCACACACACATTCACACACTGGTGATGGCAGCTACATTGTAGCCACCGCCGCCCTGGGGCGCACTGACAGAGGCGAGGCTGCCGGACATTGACGCCACCAGGCCCTCTGACCACCACCAGTAGGCAGCGGGTGAAGTTTCTTGCCAAAGGACACAATGGCCGAGACTGTCAGAGCCGGGGCTCGAACCGGCAACCTTCTGATTACAAGACGAACTCTTGAGCCACGATCACCCACAACGACGCTGTCAAAGACGCTCCTAATTTTCTTTTTAAAGCTGCTAAGTTGCAGCTAAATGTTTTATTTATTGTTTTATTTATATTAAAGTGGGTTGGTTTTTATTTTACTTTTACACAAATATAGGAAGAACTTACATAGGCCTACAGTTCAGTTTAAGATATGTCAAAGCAGGCCTACAAATGCACACTGCACTTCTGTTGTTTTATTTAGTTTTTAATTAAAAAAAAAAGATAAAAACTTAAAAGTTTACAAGTTCTGTTATTTTTTGCGGCTCCTGACTTTTTTTTTTTGGGCAGATGAGGGGGCAAAATGGCTCTTTTGATGATAAAGACCCCAGGATTAGAAGTTCCCAAGTCCGGATGGAGGAAACAAATGCAAAAGACTACCATGATATGGAAATGTTATGAAGATTTTTTTTAAAACGGACAGACTGACAGCCATAACTCAGAAAAGCTGAGAAGATGGAGAACAAAACCATTTTTCATAGTACGATGTCTAAAACAAACATCCTCTGTGTTAAAGTTGCAAATTGATGAAAGCAGAATTTGCATTTCTTACTGTTACTTTTTTATTTCTCACTAAAAGGGACGGTCAGTAAAAACTAATAAATTCACCCCATAACATTTAAATGTTCAGCTTTAGCATGTCACACCTTTCAGTACCACCTCCACGTTACACTGTACTGCAGAACTGGTAGTCTCCAACATGCAGAATCAAAATACAAAGTGCGAAATCAACCATCACTCCATTAAACAGCAATAAGATTGAAATGCTACACAGGATCAAGGAAAGTACATTCAATATTTAGCTTTACAATTGCACAGAACCCCAGAAAAATGAAGTTTACCTGCATAAACACTCCACCACATGTGTGTTATACTTGAAATGTGCGATTGTTTTTTAATCACTCAAAGGGCATGCAGGTTAGGTGTAGCTGCAAAAGCTGCCTGGCTTCTAAAATGTACAAACTTCTAATACAGCCAACAAATATGAATGGAGAGTTGGAACAAACTGGAAACCTAGTAGCAAATATTTCTGCCATTCGTAAATGCAGATACTGAATGTACAGGATTTGATGGTTAAGAATTTAATACCAGTTTCTTCTACAAATTTTTTTCACCTTCTTGAGGGAAAAGGAACCTGTCACACTCCTGGACCACAGTGACTTATGATGCATTTAACTAACAGCTTAACTCCGGACGAAAATATATATTTCATCCAACATTCAGAAAGTAAATCATCCTCAAAAAATAACTGTAATGAAATCACCTGGTCGTCCTGCAGAAATAAGTATTAGCATGAAGTATGTTTTTACAGTTCTGAACACAAACTAGTACAATGTGATCTCAAATCAAAAGACCAAACATTTTTTTGAATCATCAAAACATCTTAGGCTACGTTCACACTGCAGGCGAAAATGCATCAAATCCGACTTTTCTGACCCTATGCGACCCATATCCGATCACAGAAACTGAGGTTTTGGACTTGATTAGCATATGGGGAGACAATTCAAACAAGCTAAACGACTCCGTGGCCATATATACCTCTGCATGGAGCCACTGGTCCAAACGAGGCCATTGTTAAAGCACGGGGCTCTCTTTTTTTCTCAGTGTCGTTCTTTTCCTAATAATTTTTCAAAATTATGTCGGTTATGACTGTGCAGAAATTGATAGACTGCTGAAACAACACCTACTAGCTCTGTAGCAGCCATTTTTACTTCTATAAGCAGAGCGTGTTGTGTGTGACGTCTTCTTTTGCGTCTTCTTTTGTGCATGCCGTGAACACTAGAGCGCATTTGCTGTTGCATTTTATTTGTAGTGTGAACAACCAGACAAAAAAAAGAGTCGAATTTGATCAAAAAATTGGAATTTAGCATTAAGACCTGCAGTGTGAATGTAGCCTTAGTCAACCATTCAGTACATATAGATCAGTCATTGCAATAATTAGTCCAGCAGTCCGCAACCCCCAATCTGTGGCAAAACTTCAAATTAATCTTCAGGCTTAAGTCCACTATGGTCATCCAGCTTAAGTTAAGACACAAATGTTTGTTGGAAAACAGCCTGAGTCATTTCGTACCGCGAGAGTTGAGGCTCGGGTGTGAAATTGATGGTTTTCAGGGTTTTCTATCATTAACTCAGTTAACTGGGTCTTTTCCCTTGTTGTAGTTGTGTGTCTTATTTGGAAATATTTACGCATTATCATAGCGACCAGCGAGCATTAAGGGTCAGAGAGGAGGATGTTACTCTCAATGTTGTTGGCGCATTTCGGGAGGATGTTGCTAATGAAGTTACACACTTCTGGTGATAATTTGAAATCACAAATTAATAGTTTGCCCACCAATGTTGTCAGATAATGGCGCCTGACTCATCCAATGCTTTGTGAAAAATACCCCAGTCAATGGCTAGACCGCGAAAAAACCACGGCAAGGGTCTAAAATGTTTGGCATCATAAGCAGACTCCTTAGAAAGGAATCCACCTAAGACTAATGAAAATAAAGTATGTGCTAAATATAATCTTCCCTCACCAAATTTCTTGATGAGTTTAAGCGTGCAAACATGTCTCTGAGACAGTACGAAGAGCGAGGTCAATCCGTCGTGCACATCAAGAGAAACAGAATTACACCTTCACTCCACATCAGCAATGAGTAAGCACTATTCATGCTTTTAAAATACTCCTGCTATCTTCCAATGACAGCGGCAATGATAAAAAGGAACCTTTTAATCAATCTGTGGCAAAACTTCAAATTAATCTTCAGGCTTAAGTCCACTTAATGGTCATCCAGCTTTAACTCAAGATATGAATGTTTGCTGGAAAACAGCCTTTCTGACATCACCGCAGGAACGGATGAGGACAGAAACATAGATCCAAAACAGGTGGGACTCCAACATGATGTGCATGGCTAAATTTGATCAGAGACCTATGTTCCCCAAGCAGTCATCATTCTCACTGCCTCAACATCTGTCTGTTTGATGAAGGAGCAATTTTTAATAATCCTGCAGGTTCTGGTCGTGGTTCTGGTTGTGATTCTGAGAAGGGGGCAGCAGGCAGGTGACATGGCCGATGCCTTTGGTGACGCCCTCCCTGAAGAGAAGCTTAGCGCCCAGGCGCAAGTACTCGGGGTGTTTGATAAAGCGGAAACGAACAACAGCTCTCTCGCCAGTACGCAGCTCATCCTGCAGCAGAAATCCAAGGTTACATGATGTGGTTACATAGAAGCTTGAAAAATAATCATGTATTATGTAATTTCAAACCTTTCCATGAAGGCACTCCACAGTGGCAGTCTGCCTGACATTACCAACGTGTATGGTGACCTGTGACCCCCGACGGAAAGTCTTGGCATGGAAGAGCAGGACAATGGCAGCTTCAAACTGACAGCAGATGGTTGGGTTCATCTTGGGACTGACCATCACCATGCCCTGTAACACCAATAACACACTGATGTAACCACAGGTTGTTATCAGCAGTTGTAGAATATTTGCAGGTCTTACAGGTATCAAAAAGCAGTCCTTTATCCATTAGTGCGCAACTTGTTACGAATAAATTGAAATTTTCCTACAACTTGGTTGTGCACACTCTCAGACATTTCCAGGTGGTAGAATCCAAAACTAGCTTCTATCATCCATAAGTTCAAGCTCACAAGAGAAATGTTTCATTTTTGGATAAATAATATGCCCACCTTCTAATACACAGGTTGGTATTTGAAGAGCAACGCTGGGTTCACATCCATCAACATATACAAGTTGTCAAAAACAAATGTATCAGCAATTTAGCATAAAAACATTCGATGGAAAGACAATACACTTTCCTCACATCAAACTATGCAAGTTAAGTGCAATATTGTCTCCTGTTGTATTCAGTTTGAATATTGATGATCTTTCTGTCAAGTTAAATGAATGTAAGACTGGGTGTATGGTGGGTAACCTCCATGATGATTTGGTCATTTTGTCTCCCTACAGTCCTGGTTTGCAGTAGTTACTTAGTTTGTGCTAGTTATAGTGCCCGGTATGATATTGCTTTTAACCCTAAAAAGCATGTTATTGTGATTGTTACAACTAAGGAGGATGACAAGGTAAATTTTCCATCTTTTCATTTAGCAACCAAGTACTGGATGTGGGGAACAACGTATAAAACTTGGGTCATATCTTAACAAGTGATCTTTGTAATGATGATGATGATGATGTGAAAAGACAGTGCTGTGAAGGTGTACGAGCAAGCTAATATCTTGGCACATACATCTGGCACTTTTTAAGCCTATTGTACTTTAAAAAAAAATACGGGTCATTTATGGTGTAATTATAGTAAAGCCATAACCAAAGCCAAACTGCAAGTGGCTTTTCAGGATGCATTTAGAATTTTCCTTAGACCAATTTGGACATCTGCAAGTCAAGTGTTTGTCGTGAGTAACGTCCCAGCTTTTCGTGCCTTACTGAGGAACTATATGTACAAATTTATGTGTCATTTGAACGAGTCAAGAAATTCAATAGTCTTGTGAGTTTTGTCTTTGTTGTTTTTCTTTTAATTATATGGACAAATTTTCTCTGAAAAAAAAATACAATACAAAGCTACATCATCTCTCTGAACTTGTGTTCTCACCACTTGTGGTGTCTGCAGTTTCACCAATGACCTTAAAAATGTGCAGAGACCAAAAATGTGAATTTCTGTTTGGATTACCAGGAAGTAACCTGAGGGCTCAAATTACGGTCAGAAAGATTTTTTTGTTTTGTAACGTTGTAACCCAAAAAATCTGAACATGTTATGTTTGTGCATCCATAGATAAGAATTTCAGTGTTTGTAAAAAATAATTACAAGTTAAAGCTGAAAGGAAGAAATTTCTGGTCAAAATTTGCACTTTTAAGTTGAAACTCACACACAAGCGAGGGAACTTGAGCACAGAGTTACAACTACGCAGTCTGATTTACAAGTACAAAATATTTATGGCCACAGTTAGAGCCCATAGTAATCTGATAACAGCAGCTGTACTGACAGCAGTCCAGAGGTGCATGAGGAGATGACCTACAAAGGTACACTGTGCAAATTTAAACTGAGTGAAGTTGTTGAGTTTTAGAGTCACAGAAGAAGTCACTATATCAAGGAAAGATAAATTGATTGAGACACTTTGTATGTAGGGTTTGCAGAGTTTTTACTTCCTAGACAATTCTTGCATGTACGTTAGAACATTTTGGGTTGTCGTCTGTCCTTGCCAATTATAGAGATCCTTTCCTCAACACATTGGGGGACAATTCAAAACAACCGTTGCTTCAAGTTACCTCTTTATATTGTAAGGTAAAGATCCTGAACTAATAACAGAATACTCTGTATTTTTAGCATGAGTCTGGTCTGTGTTTCGCAGAGAAATTAAACACCATTAATAAATTTGAAAAACTGCGACCATGAAGGTCGACTGCGATCCTTCCCTCTGTGTTTTCCAAATTCTCAAAGGAACTGCAAAGTAACTTCCAGTATAAATAAAAGAGAGCAAACAAAATATGCAATATACACACACAGAGATGTATGAATTTGTGCAAGTTACATTTAAAAAAAAAAACCTGAATCCCCCTTTAAATCATCTCCTACATCCTTTCATGTCTTTAGGTGGCCTCTAACCTTGCGCAATAGTGAACGGTCAAAGTTTCCCAAAGCCAGCGTTGCAGCCTGTCCAGCCCTCAGCACTCTGCAGGCAGAGCGGTTCCTCTGGATACTGCCCACCTTCAGACGCAGAAAACGGCCCTCATCAGTTGGACCCACCACCAGCCTCTCACCCTCCCTACACATTCCACTGAAACACAGACCATCACACAAACACAAACTGTTCTTAGTGTAATGCACGGCACTTTCCATGATTACAAAGACCTGCTCTGTGTCCAACCAAGGACCCGTAAAATGAAAAGCTGCGATATATTATCAAAGATTCTATTCTTATATAAGTCATGTGTTATATATATCTCTATGAATATTTGGGGTTCCCACTGTTTCAAGAATAAAATGTAAAATAATATTGACAACATATTAAAGCAGACAGTGCTATCTCACCTGTACAGAGTTCCTCCAACCACAGTCCCAACGTCAGGAACTGAGTAGATCTCATCAACCTTCAAACACAGAAACGATTAAATGTCAGTCTGCGCTTTCCACACTCCAGCATGCAAGTCACACACACGTCTCTACCACATTCTATTAGGGGCTGGTGTGTGTGTGTGTGGTGTGTTTTTGTTTTCTTTTTCCTTTTTCGGCGCAGGGTAGGCAGGGCGGTGATTCGCAGGATCACCAGCACACCTGTGGCAAATCAGGCCGGAGCTTTTATAGGGAGCTGACATCTGGTGTAAGAGTATTGCCTCTTCCACAAGTAGTAACGTGCGAGTTCGCTCTCTAGATTGGCATCTACGACCTGCCGAGTGTTTTAAGATCTTATTTTCCTTCCACCAGCCTGCCTCGCTCCCCGACTGCCTGTCTGTGCCTCTGAAGACTGTTTAATCGGTCTGAACTGGGAATCACCTTGCCTACCAATTCAATTACATTCAAATTCTTAATTACTTATTCCCCAAAGGGGAAATTTGTTTAGCAGCAAGACAACAATAAGAGTAAACAAAACAATAATGTTAATAATAATAATAACAATAATAATAATGATAAAAAGCCATTAAGTTATTTGACATTAAGGAGATAGGTTGCACCGCGAGCAGCCCACACACTCCACCTGCCTCAGCCTTTGTTCCAGTTAAACTTCTTTCCGAGTCTGTAACTCAGTTTGTGCCAAGTAAGCTCACCAACTCTCCTCCTAACTTATTTTCATCCTTGCCTTTTGTGTTCAGTCTCTAATTCTGTTCTCCTCCCATAGACCGGTCGAGTGCCCTGCCAGTTTTCCTGCACACCCCCGAACTGTGTTTGTGTTTTCTCTCTCTGTCACTGTGAATAAAACACAGTCACTGTAAACACAACACTGTCACTGTGAAACCCCTGGTGTCTGCGTGTTCTGGGCCCACCACAGTTACTACCTAACACATTCTTTACCCTGTGCCAGGGGTCAGCAACCTTTAAGACCCAAAGAGCCATTTGGACCTGGTTTCCACGCAAAAGAAAACACTGGGAGCCGCAAATACTTTTTGACATCTGAAATGAAGATAACACTGTATATATTGTTTTTTACCTTTATGCTTTGTGTGAACAACTAAAGTGTGTTGCTTATGAAATCCATGAAGTGCTACAGAGAAAATTACATTTTATTTATGTAATTAACACATTTTGAACTCTTAAAGAAATATAACAAAAGGAAAGACGCCCAGCTGAACTAAAATGATCCAAGTAGTGAACAAAAACTGCTGTGAGCCGCCACCCTTATATCGCCTTTGGGCTTTTGGAGCCTTGACCTGATTTTTAAAAAAGCACTATGCTGCTAAAAGAGGAAAAATAGATATTTGCAAAATTCTGCCTAAATATGTATTTTTCCTGGTTAATGTGTGTGGCGGGGTGTGGTCTGCAGCGCCGCTGCAGGAGAGGCCGACGCACCTGAGCGGCACCCACGATCACGCCTCACCGCCTTAACGTCTGCGCTATCTATGCTGTTGTGTTGTTGTTGGTATATGTCGGGCTGTGAGCTGAAAAGCTACAGCCGGCTGTATGCGTCAGCAACCGTGTGTGAAAAGTGGTCAATAAAGAGATGCTGAAAAGCATGTTCATGGAAACATCGCCGGGTCTGCTGTGATATGTTTACAATGGGACTTCTGCTCCTGAACCTCTGCGCACAGCGTCTGCAAATCGGGGCTGTACGAAGTCACTTTCATCTTTACGCAGGACTGTAAGCTGTCCTCTGTGAGGCGTGAGCGGTGTTTGTTTTTAACGTAGTTCACGGTGGAGCTGCTGACATAATGTGGATCTATAATTGGCCTACCTGGGGTTGAAAGTCTCGATAAATGCGCGGCGTTTCGGCGGGTACACCGGCTTCCGTGAGTGTGACGCTTATTTTGAGCGATGAAAAAATAATAGAATATAATTTTATTTTTATATTTCAATATCACAATAATCTTCCAATTAAAAAAGAACTAACATAAATAAATTACACTTCAGCTAAATACTTCTAATTTGTTTGCCCAAACCACACGGAGCCGCACTACAAGGACTAAAGAGGTTGCCGACCCCTGGCCTCTACTTACACTGTGGTAAACAGATGCTGCACAATGAAGAGTGGTAGTAAGACTGCGAGTGCAGCTGCAGTAATGTAATAATTCATCTGCTTGCTTTCCTGAGTGTTTGGCTGCTAGCCTGTTCGTTACTCCACTGCCACTTTCCCATGCTGTGAAACTCAGTACTGTCATCATTACACTAATCCAATCATCTTCTTGCCCGCCTTCTTTAAAGCCAATCAGCCACTCTGTGTGGTTTAAATCTCAGTGCTCTGTCATTCCCTCTTTCAGGTTCTCATTCGTGTAACCCAATCAGAGCTCCATCTTCCTCACCACAACCATCTAGACTGGGAGAGGTCTTATCCTAACTCTTGTCACGCCTGAGAATCTTTTCTGCCATGATGGTCCATCAGAGTCTAATCGCCAAATACATTAGTTTATCTGTCACAGTAAATCATGTTCATATCATCCAAATGATCTCTAGTTATTGAACTGATGTTGTGGGGAGACATATCTGTTTTGGTACTGTGGGAACTCAACTTCTTTATATACACACGTATATAAGGAAATAAATATTTCAAATGTCAAAATATCTGTAAGGGAAATAATTACATTTAAGTTCAAACTTGGTTTGGTGTACGGTTATAGGAGGTTAAGTTGTGAGAGGTATCTCAATTCCCCTCATATGGTCCCCAGGCAGCTAAACTGTGGCGTGAAGGCAATAAAGTAAAATTAAAGTTAAAGAAAAGTTAGAGTTAGGTTAAGGTTAGGTTAAAATTAATAAAGTTTCGGGTACTAGGGCTGTTTGATATAACAATATAAAAATGTCTATCGTTTCCTATTATGCTATCGTTTGTTTCGTGGTGTGGCAAAATAAACTGTTTATGGCAATATTTTCATGATTTTGATGGTCATTGTAGTGGCTATATCAATTTCATAAAGTTCTCTCTTTCTCTTATGTTTAATATAACCACACCACAGATGGACAAGCAACTGTTTTTACGCGTTGTCGTTAGCAACAACGAGGTTAAAACCATGGCGTAGCTCCACCATCCGCTTGTTTGTTTTGCACATAAACCTTTCACAATAAAGTTCAAGATCCTGTTGAGACTTTTCAAAATAAACTGAATCCCGTTAAAGAGTGTGCAGAGTGTTTACAGATGAGAAGCAAAAAAGAGCCGCCAGGTGCTAAAAAATAAACCTTAGACTCAAACGTTAGAACAGGCTTTTCCCCGCAGCACGCCGTGTAATAAATAAACTTAAACCTAAAAATACCAGAATAGGGAGGATGGTGTCATCCTCCCTATTCTGGTATTTTAAAGAGTACTTAGCGGAAATATTAAGCAACCTAACCTTTTTCAAGAATAATTAAATAGATTCAACATCTTTCTTCAACAAATTTGCAGACTGCACAGATGGAACCTTCCCAAAGGAAAAAGTACTTTGGCTTACTAGGGTATATTAGACTTAATAGTTACTATATACAGTAATGGACTTCTATACATTTTACATCACATTAAAACTTTGGGTGTATGATTCAGATAGTTATTTATTAAAAGCTAGACATTTTAAATGAGAATAAGACAGAAAAGCATTTCATTCTGCCCTCCTTTTCCTGTTAATGCCCTACCTGCCCCCCTGGGAAAACTTTGCTAGACCCACCCCTGCACAGTTACCAGCCATCAGCTACGCAGAAAAGGATCCTGGTGTAATATTAAATAAATTCTAAGAACAGCTTATCAAGCTTAAACCTGCTGCTGTTGTTTAGCCTCTTTCTTGCGCAAAGTGGGCGATAAAGAAACAAGAGAGACGGAGTCGTGACAGAAAAGCCGATCAGCCGATTATTGATCAGTTTCATGATTGAAGTAGTGACAGGAGAGGGAGGGGGAGAGAGAGGCAGTCGCTCCATATATCGGTTGTTAAGCTTAACGTGGGAATGCTTTACAAACATTCAGAGATGAACTTATGAACTTGCTTTACTTCTCTCTGGGATCACTTTCTCGGAGATGAAATGCCGGTTTGGTAGTGAGGCTCCAAATACTCAACCAGACCACTGAGAGGTCTCGCACGCCACAGCCGCTCTATCACGTGACGCATACTGCTCGACGTGCTAAGGCTATGAGCCGAGTTACGCCATGTCACAAGTTTTGTGAGGTGCTTTTGTGATATTTAATGGATCGGATTAAATTTTTTATTTCTCTCCGATATCCGATCCAGTAATTTAGGTCAGTATTGGACCGATACCGATACGTAATATCGGATCGGTCTATCTCTAGTGTCATGCATCGGTTAAAACCAATGACTATTGGGTTTAACCGATGCATGTTCAATAATGAAGTATTGGGTAGAGTTATACTGAGGATAAAGTAAATCTCAAGGAAATTAATTTAAGTCAGGGCTATGTCACCAGAAGTGATGGAAAAATGTTGCTATATATCACTGACCCTACTAAATCATTGCCAAAAATTATGACAGTTCTAACTGAATTTGGGAAAATTTCTGGATACAAAATCAACTTAACAAAAAGCATATTGTTTCCGATTAGTTCTTTAGAAAAATTTGATAGCGCTACATTGATCTCGTTTCCTTTTACAATCTCAAATATCTTCAAATATCTTGGAATAACTGTAACCCGTGAATTCTCTGGCCTTTTCAAACATAATTTTATTAATTTATACCATCAAACTGAACAGAACTTGGAAAGACTGTCTAAACTGCCCATCTCGCTTGCTGGCCGAGTAAATATCATTAGGACGAGCACTTTACCCAAATTTTTATTTTTGTTTCGATGTATCCCAATATTGATCACAAAAACTTTTTTTAAGAAAATAGACCAGTTAATCTCTCAGTTTATCTGGAACAAGAAGACACCCAGAATAAAAAAGATATTTCTCCAAAGATCCAAGATTACAGGAGGAATGGGGTTGCCTTGTTTTCAGTTTTATTATTGGGCCTGTAATATACGTTGTATGTCATTCTGGGGCGGGGAACATAGACCTGATTGGGAACGGATGGAAAGTATGACTTTTTTCTCTAATACTCTTAAATCTTTGGTTCATTCAAACTCAGATCTGGGTAAGCATAAATGTAAAAATCCAGTAGTGTCTGACTCACTAAAAATTTGGTCTCAAATTAGAAAGCATTTTCATTGGCGTCAATGTTCAATCTTTACACCATTAATTCATAATCAAGCATACACATTGCTCTCAGGATTAACATTCCAGCTATGGACTTCCAAAGGGATACACACAATCAAGGATCTGTTTATTGATAATCTTTTTCCTTCGTTTCAACAACTTCAGCAAAAATTTTCCATAGAAAACAGAGATTTTTTCAAGTATTTACAAATACGTCATTTTATTAAAGAAACGTTTCCATCCTTTCCCAATGAACCACAAAAGCTAGTTTCAGATGATCTGTTCCTAATGAACCGGCTAAAGAAAGGAGCCATTTTTAGGATCTACAACCAACTTTTGCAAATAGACAGTACAACTACATTGGACCACTTGAGAAATGCTTGGAGTGAAGAACTGGCTACTAACATCACTAAAGATCAATGGACTAAGGCACAAGAACTGGTTCACTCCACTTCTGTCTGCTGCAGGCACGGACTACTACAATTTAAGGTCCTGCATAGGCTCCATCTGTCTAAATTGAAGGTTTCAAGGATGTTTCCAGGGGCTGACTCAAGATGTGATCGATGTGGCCAGAATTCTGCCTCATTGTCACATATGTTTTGGACATGTCCTAATATCACTACCTATTGGTCTAAAATATTTAAAACTTTGTCTGATATTTTTAAAAAACAGCTCCCCCCAGACCCAGTAATGGCACTATTTGGTGTAGCTACAGTTAAATACTTGTTTGCTTTGGGGGTTTTTTTCCCCCCTCTCCCCCTCCTCTGAATATACTTATTTAGGTATATAAATGTGTATGTATAGACATAGATATATGATTGTTTATAAAAAAATAAAAAATGAAAAAAAAAAGAAGTGATGGAAAAAAAAGCACATGTGTGTACGTGGGTTTGGATACCTGAAACTCAGTGAGCTGCTGCATCAGCTCTTCCTGCTCCTTGCTGTTGCTCAGTGGAGGAAGGATGTTCAAAAAAACCTTCAGGAGGTCCAGATTCTCACCAGACACACTGGAAAGGGTGAAGATGGGTGTAATGCTGCAAATGTGCATCCAGCCAAACACACACACACACACACACACACACACACACACACACACACACATACACACACACAGTGAAGTTAAAATTCAATTAAGTACATCATTAAGTGTAATATTTTTCCACTGTGGACATACAGATAAGTGAATTCACGATCATGAATAGATTGTGAATTCACCAACACAAAACCGTTCTTAATAGAAATACAAGTTGATAATGGGATAATACAGATACTACACACGTTACACCTCAGACACATAAAAGTTGTTGTGGAAATCTCTGACCAGTATCAATGGAGAACAAAGTAACTACAAGCTCCTGCTCCTGCAACAGAACACAAAGTGCTGTAATCAAATACTGAGCCACAACAAAAGACATAAAAGTATTTCATGTATGAATGACTTTTACTTTTAAGATTTACAATACAGTTTAGTGCAACTACTACATAGTCATTATTTTCCTGTGTAAATCGTTGGTTGTTATAATAAAAAACGTCAGTTGAACATATCATATAGCAGACACACACAGTGATATTTGAGAAATTACAGCCTCTAAACGCTTCCTGTAGGTTCCAATGAAAGTCTGGATTGTGGTTGAAGTTATTTTCGACCATTCCTCTTTATAAAACATCTCTAGTTCATTCAGGTTTAATAGCTTCCAAACATAGACAGCTCTCTTTAACTCACACCACAGATTTTCAATAATATTCAGGTCTGGGGACTGAGATGGCCGTTCCAGAACGTTGTACTGGTTCCTCTGCATGAATGCCTTAGTGGATTTTGAGCAGTGTTTCAGGTCGTTGAAAGATCCCGGCGCAGCTTCAGCTTTGTCACTGATTCCTGGACATTGGTCTCCAGAATCTGCTGATACTGACTGGAATCCATGTGTCCCTCAACTTTGACAAGATTCCCAGTCCCTGCACTGGCCACACAGCCCCACAGCATGATGGAACCACCACCATATTTTACTGTAGGTAGCAGGTGTTTTTCTTGGAATGCTGTGTTCGTTTTCCTCCATGCATAACGCCCCTTGTTATGCCCAAATAACTCAATTTTAGTTTCATCAGTCCACAGCACCTTATTCCAGAATGAAGCTGGCTTGTCCAAATGTGCTTTAGCAAACCTCAAGCGGCTCTGTTTGTGCTGTGGGCGGAGAAAAGGCTTCCTCTGCATCACTCTCGCATACAGCATCTCCTTGCGTAAAGTGCGTCGAATGGTTGAACGATGCACGGTGACTCCATCTGCTGCAAGATAATGTTGTAGGTCTTTGGTGCTGGTCTGTGGGTTGACTCTGACTGTTCACCATTCATCACTTCTGTCTATCCGAGATTTTTCTTGGTCACTTTCTTGCCACTTTGAGCCTTAACTTGAACAGAGCCTGTGGTCTTCCATTTTCTCAATATGTTCCTAACTGTGGAAACAGACAGCTTAAATCTCTGAGACAGCTTTCTTTATCCTTCCCCTAAACCAGTGGTTCCCAAACTTTTTTTGCTAGGCCCCCCTTTGTTTTACAAGAAAACTGTTCGCGCCTCCCCCTTCTCGCGCACGCACATGCACGAACACATCCTTCAACCACACACACCCATACTTTGCAGTTTCTTTCACACCTCAAACATTTAGTAAACAATTAAGCAAATACAAGTAATCTGCAATAAATGACAGGTAGTGATAAAATAAACTAAATAAATAAATTTATCGAGTGGAAAAAAGTTGGCGTTCATCCTCCAGCTTCACTGTGCTAATGTTATGCTAACATAGCTGTGTCGCTAGCAATCATGTAGCACAACATTATATACCAGGTAGTCCAACTTTAGTAACCCTGCAAACGCCACTGCTGTTTAGTTTTCTGTCTTCATTTATGTTGGAAGTGGTAGCAGAGCTGTACGTTTTAATTAGTTTCAAAAATCTCTCAGTCAGAACATGGTATGTCATGTTTAGGTGGAAACTAGCGAGCTAACTTCCTGTTAACTTCTAACTCCGTTAAATTTAATAAATTCTGTTTTCGTGGATGCCTGGATGTTAAACTTAATTGTTACACCTGCTAAAGCAGCAACGCTGATGATTTTCAGGGTTCGTACGGGTGCTGGAAATCCGTACGAACGGATAAGAGGAGAAATGATTCTCCTTTCTCTCAGTGTTCGTTTGACTTTGGGACCTGAAGCAGACGGAGTTTTGGACCCGGATTACTCCGCGAAGCTCCTTACTACGGCAGCCGTAATGCTCTGACAATCCATCAAAACATTTTTTAACAGATTTCTGCACGCCAAAATCGGTTCGAGGTCAGTAAGCACAACCAGAATTCATACATGAGACACTCAATTTTTGAGAAAATTAAAGGATTGTAAGTCTGCCTTATAGTGCGGAAAATATGTTATACAGAAGAAAAGAATATATCGCGATATATATCGTTACCGCACGTGCTTCAAATTATATCGCGATATGGATTTTAGGCCATATCGCCCAGCCCTAACTGTGTGTGTCTCCTTATATGATATATTTAACTGACATTTATTATTGTAACAACCAACGATTTATACAGGAAAATAATGACTATTAACAAGGTTGGCCAAACCTTTGCATCCCACTGTAGGTAGACCATGCAAGGTCACTATTACAGTGCAATATTAATATTAGTGTTCATTAGTTTATTTTCCTCCGTATTACCTGTTGGTGTCAGTCTTTGCTTTGGATGTGCATGAACAACAACATTGTGGTGATTACCCAAAATGCAATGCGATTTATGAATTCGACTTTAAACAAGTTTTCCGAAAATGTTATCATCCATTATAGAACAGCTATTTTGTGCTTTGTGTATCGTAGCAGTATTTCCATGACCTTCACTTATCATTTCTGCAGCACTATATACTGCTTTATCTATATATTAGTGAATTTTGTTTATACTGCTGTATACACTGTACAATTAAGCTATTCCCCGCCATACACAGTAGCTGATAAGTATTGAGTATTTTTACTCACCATGTGGACTGGGTGAACTGCTGTGCTGCACTCACAGCATCGTCAGGGTTCAACACCACCATGGGCACCTTGTTGCAGCCTGGCTGCTTCAGAACTCGCTCTAGTTGTCTGACTGTTCGCTCCACAGTGCCTCGGGAACACAGGTCCACTTTACTGACTACAATGAAGATAGGAACTTTCAGCGCCATGGCCAAGCCCAGGTGTTCCCTAGTTGTACCAGCTGGATGAAGGAAACAAATAAAATACTCAATTACCCAGAACACTTGTCTTGTGATGTTTCGCATCTTATGTGCATAGGAAATCTAAACGTTACAAGGCAGTTGGATCCAAGTGAGAACAATTCTATTTAATTTTTAAATATTCAAATTATTTGTGCCTAGAAAGTAGTCAGAGGCCTGGACTCTGTACTATGAAGTGAGTTAAACATACCTAGAGTATCTGTCAGTTATCTGGATTCACTTACCCAAACACTGGTAACCAGGATTAGAAGTGGAGAGGAAAAAAATTACTGTATAGTCGATTATTGTTAAAATCACTCTGTGTCTTAAATGTTATAGGTTAGTAAGACCAGAAAAGAGGTGCTTTATCACTAAAGTGTAGCCTATTTGACACATGAAGGAAAGCTTGTAAAAATGCTGGGTGTGTTAACAGACTTGTCAATGCCTCTATCATTAAGTCACGGAAGAATCTGATGAGGTGTAGATGAGTATTCTGTTTGACTAATGTTTAAATTTGCATAAGACAGTTTTAGTTTTTATTCTTTCAGCTGCAGCTGCAGATGGTCGCATAATGGTCTGAAAGCAAGTAAAGAATAATTATAAAAACAAAATTCAAAGCCCTTTTTCCATTAGTACCTACTCAGAGCAAGTCGGCACGGTTTGCCAGTTTTTATAGGGTTTTCCATTAGTTCCTGTTACCAGGTACTTTTTAGTATCTGCTCGCCCGGGGTTCCAAGTGATCCCGACAGGTAGAATACAAGTGTGTTTGGACAGACAACACATCTCATTTGTTTCTTGTATCTTTTATACCACGTCATGACACCTCTTTTATCCAACTAACTCCTAGATAATGTCTTCATCAAATGAAACCCTACACAATCAAAGAGAAACCTGCTCTGTTCATAACGTACAGTGGGGCAAAAAAGTATTTAGTCAGCCACCGATTGTGCAAGTTCCCCCACTTAAAATGATGACAGAGGTCAGTAATTTGCACCAGAGGTACACTTCAACTGTGAGAGACAGAATGTGAAAAAAAAATCCATGAATTCACATGGTAGGATTTGTAAAGAATTTATTCGTAAATTAGGGTGGAAAATAAGTATTTGGTCACCTCAAACAAGGAAAATCTCTGGCTCTCACAGACCTGTAACGTCTTCTGTAAGAAGCTTTTCTGTCCCCCACTCGTTACCTGTATGAATGGCACCTGTTTGAACTCATCATCTGTATAAAAGACACCTGTCCACAGCCTCAAACAGTCAGACTCCAAACTTCGCCATGGCCAAGACCAAAGAGCTTTCGAAGGACACCAGGAAAAGTATTGTAGACCTGCACCAGACTGGGAAGAGTGAATCTACAATAGGCAAGCAGCTTGGTGTGAAAAAAATCAACTGTGGGAGCAATCATCAGAAAATGGAAGACATACAAGACCACTGATAAACTCCCTCGATCTGGGGCTCCACGCAAGAGCTCATCCCGTGGGGTCAAAATGATCATGAGAACGGTGAGCAAAGATCCCAGAACCACACGGGGGGACCTGGTGAATGACCTGCAGAGAGCTGGGACCAAAGTAACAAAGGTCACCATCAGTAACACACTACAACGGCAGGGAATCAAATCCCGCAGTGCCAGACGTGTTCCGCTGCTGAAGCCAGTGCATGTCCAGGCCCGTCTGAAGTTTGCCAGAGAGCACATGGATGATACAGCAGAGGATTGGGAGAATGTCATGTGGTCAGATGAAACCAACGTAGAACTTTTTGGTATAAACTCAACTCGTCGTGTTTGGAGGAAGAAGAATACTGAGTTGCATCCCAAGAACACCATACCTACTGTGAAGCATGGGGGTGGAAACATCATGCTATGGGGCTGTTTTTCTGCCAAGGGGACAGGACGACTGATCCGTGTTAAGGACAGAATGAATGGGGCCATGTATCGTGAGATTTTGAGCCAAAAACTCCTTCCATCAGTGAGAACTTTGAAGATGAAACGAGGCTGGGTCTTCCAACATGACAATGATCCAAAACACACCGCCCGGGCAACAAAGGAGTGGCTCCGTAAGAAGCATTTGAAAGTCCTGGAGTGGCCTAGCCAGTCTCCAGAGCTCAACCCATAGAAAATCTGTGGCGGGAGTTGAAAGTCTGTGTTGCTCGGCGACAGCCCCAAGACATCACTGCTCTCGAGAAGATCTGCATGGAGGAATGGGCCAAAATACCAGCTACTGTGTGTGCAAACCTGGTAAAGACCTATAGTAAACGTTTGACCTCTGTTATTGCCAACAAAGGTTATGTTACAAAGTATTGAGTTGTATTTTTGTTATTGACCAAATACTTATTTTCCACCCTGATTTACAAATAAATTCTTTACAAATCCTACCATGTGGATTCATGGATTTTTTTTTCACATTCTGTCTCTCACAGTTGAAGTGTACCTCTGGTGCAAATTACTGACCTCTGTCATCATTTTAGGTGGGGGAACTTGCACAATCGGTGGCTGACTAAATACTTTTGCCCCACTGTATCAGTTTGCGTTAAGGCACTGGAAGAGCAAAAGAACCCTGCCACAATCACGTCCAACTAGAAACAATATTCCTACAAAATTTACACATAGAATTTTTATCTTTTGGACATAGTGATGCAGTTGTTAAGTCTCTAAAAAGGTTCTTGGTATTCCTGGGCCATTTTTTCTGGAGTTTGCATGTTCTCAATTGACTGGATATGTAAATCTGTGGCTTACCCACAGGTTTTAGATATTAAAAAAAACACAAAAAACAAAATACAGGCTACTTACCAATACCAGTGTTAGCGCTCACCACCAGCATGGCAAAGTCAGGGCAATAACTTGTGAGGCCGAAGATGGTGGTCTTTAAATACTTGTGGTGTCCTGCAAGGTCGATGAAGGTGATCATCTTGGAAGAACTTTCGCAGATCTCCTCAGCTGTCCTGGACTCACTGTAGTTCACAACCTTTTACAGGTAACATACAAGACAGGCTGCACCAAAGGACAGAATTGAAATAAAACACGTCTTTTGTTTTGTTTTTACAGTTTGATTGTTTATTGTCAGGGATTGTTTACAAATATAAATATGCTAATACCCTGAGTTGTGGTGTGCAGCAATGGCAACAACAACCACAAAGTGTTTTTTCTCTACCTGACTGATTTTTAAGAGTCAGGTAGAGAATCAATTAGGCAGCACATTAAAAATATACTTGCCAAATTTCAAATGCTGTAGTTCTTCACTGTGTCTGACACACTGCATTTAACACTATGGTGAGAGGCCAATCTACAAAGCAGAAATATGACCCATGAAATAAATTAGTCAATATCTGATATATAGTTGTAATGAAAAGTTTCCATACACTCGTCATGGGCATGATGGTAATTTTGGGCTTCTAAAGGTGAAATTGTTATACACCATAAATCTTTATTATTATTTTTTTTTCAGGATTTCATTAGAGATTGTGAAGGCAAAATATATTTTAGAACCTACTAATAAACAAAAGATAACAGAATACAGTCCTTAACATATCTAAATAATTTAGCAATGGTAAAAGAAGAGCATTATGCAAAATTTCAAACTGAACTTTAAATAAAGTTACAAAGCTGTTTCAAAAAACAGAGCAAACAAAAGTTAAATGTCCCACATTGACCAGATGCTTCTGGCAGCAATTAAAAAGATCCTGGCCACCTTCTGGCTGAATATTAGACCACTCTCTAGAATTTTAGAGTATTTGAAGTGATTTTCTTGAAATCAATTTGGCTTTTAAGCATAGTCCACAAATTTATATTTTTGTGTTGAGGGTGTGGCAAAGACCATTCCTTGAAGCTTAATGTTGGCCTGCTTTATCCATTCCAAAAGCATGCTCCAAAAATGTGACAAAAAATTTATATCAAGTTAAAAGACACTAGAACCCTCTACACCACTTGTTAAAAGATTTAAATTTGTTGTTTATAAAGTCATTAAAGATGTATACTGTACAATCATTCCACCCTGGAAAAAGCCCAGTTCAAAGAAATCACTAAAAGCCTCAAGGTAGCATGAATTCATGTCCATAGTGAATGTAAACTTCTGAATATTGCTAATATCCTAAGTGGCAAAGGGATTACCTCTCCTTTGCTGTTGAAGCCCAAGATCTCAAAGCTGATACTGGAGGTGCGTCCGGTCTGGATCTCATGCAAATGTCTGAAAAGGTTGAGCCGTGCACGGCCTCGTCCATTGTCCAACTCGCCTTGTGTCAGGACACCCAGCAAGGTTGACTTCCCAGAGTCCACATTGCCTAGCACTGCCACCCGCAGATCCAGGAACTGTTGCAGACCAAAACAGCAAGACAGAAAATGGGATCATATTTTCATAACCATTAAACAGCACTGTTTAAAAAAAGAACCCTTGGTGCTCTCTATAGTTAAAGCCTAAATGGGCAATGCTGTGATCCTTTTTAGAGTATTGCTGTGACACCACTGTTGTTTTGCCAGATTCAACTGGACTCTTTTTCCTCTACCATGTGTAACAGACAGACTCTTACCTGCTGATCATCAGGAACTTTTCGAACAAGGACTTCTGCAATTTTGCGCGTGTTTCTGTCTGAGTCGTAGTCAACCTCCCTCTCTCGGAGGAGAGTGATGTCAGCCCCGACTCTGAAATGAAAGAAAAAGACTTAAGTTTTATAATTCAATTTTCATTTAGTTTACACTGATCCCAATCAATTTACTGAGCAAAGCAGTAATAATTTTTCTTAGACGGCTTCTCCCAGTTTCAATTTATTTCAAACAGTGACTGGAAACCTGCCTAATGATTGTAGATTTATGTACCTAAGAAAATGTAATTAGGCATTCTGTGTCATGTGTGGAAAGTTAACTACAAAAATTAAAAGTGCTTTACATTACTATCAAAAAACAATTAAATAAACAAACAAACATTAGAACATTCAAGATTAGCAAGACTGCTAATGGTGAGTACAGCATAGAGTTGGGTATTTAGTACTTTAAGTAAGATTGCGATGGGATATGTCGCATTACATATTTAATAATCAATACTGATATACTGAACCTTCTCTAATTCCAGAGCTTAGTGTGTGTTAGAAAGTGCTGAGTTTTGGACATTGCCTGCCCAGGGGGTTGCTGGACATTCTGAACAGGGCCCGACTGCAGTAATCCAGCCAGGTGGTGACAAAGCCTTAATGGATGAAGTTATCTGAGTCAGTGAGTGATGGCCAAAGTTGAGAGAGATTGTGGCAGATTGGATATAAGCCTGGACTTAAAGTGCAGAGTCCAAAACAACACCCTGGTTGTGAACTTCTGGGGAAAGTGAGAGGAGGCGTCTGTCTGCGACAATGAGTGGAACACCAGTTTTCCACAGTAGAACTTTGGGGGCCAGAACCAAGAGATCAGTTTTATTACTATTGATGCTGAAGTAGGTTAGATGACATCCATGTTCTGAAGCAATGCAGACATTTGACAAGCAATTGCGGGGGGAACTGGGTGGAGGGTTTGGTGCTGAGATAACATTGTGTGTAACAACACAGGCAGAGACCATCTGACAAACTGTGTTGGGTTGGAGAGGTAGGACTGAAAGCAGGAGATTACAGTACCAGTGAGGACAAGATATCTGGATATATGTGAAAGCTGGATGGTGTGAGAACAAGTGCCAAAAGCTGCAGAAAGATCTGGGAACTTGAGGATACTGATGTGGCCAAAATCATCTGTCATGATGTCATTAGCTATTTTGATAAGAGTAGTCTCAGTCCTGTGGTGTGTTCTGAAGCCAGACTGTACGGATTCATGGAGCTCATGGTTTGACATATATTGATGGAGTTGGGTGGCTCCTTCCAAACTTTTATGTCATGTCAAGTCATGTCACCAGATGAAGCACTGTTGCTGATTAATAAATTTGTTAATCTAGTCCTGATGTTTTTGTTAACAGTTCAGTTATTCAGGAGGGGCTCAGATAGGCCGATACTACTTCACATTGAAAGGAGCCAGCTGAGACTGTCGCCTCCTGGATAGTTTTCATGCTAGGCATGTCCAGCATAGACCCAGGACCTACTGGAGAGATTACATCCAACAGATGGCCTGGGAATGGTTCGATGTTTCCCCAGAAAATCAGGAGAATCCATTCACGATAATCTACCAGTAAGTTACTTAGACTTAGCCATATTATGAATGAAGCTTGCTAACCAAGCTTGCTAAGCTTAACAGATACTTAGCATGCCACCCTGTCCTCCAAACATAGTAATTTCTGGCTGCAAAAGAACCAGCATGACACTAACATTGTGGAGTCCAAAACTAATGAGTGACACCAGAGTGAAGACACTTATATATATTCTTTGGTGACGTCTTAATGTCAGCAAATAAATTGTACAAGATGACCTACTTCTCTGCCATCTTCTTTAAAGTGTTGAGTGAGGCCTTCATGTCAGCCTCAGTCAGGCCGACTAGCAGACCATTGTCTTCTACTCCTATCTGGTAGACAGCTTCGCCACGGCCCTCCTGCAGTCGCCACTTCAGCTGTGTGGCCAGATGCTCAAAGCGGTACTGTGTGGGGTTGACCAGCTTCAACTACAGTATAGAAAATACATAATGATACAGGTAGTAAATGGCCACAGTTTAACTAGAGCACTGCTTGCATAGGAGTTCTGAGGTAAAATAAAAAAAGTCAGCTACACTAAATCCAAGATTTTCAAAACTGAAGGATTTAATTCTTTAATTCTGATTCAGAAAGTCCTGATTATATTCAATTTAATTTTGACTCTGTCAGAAACATATACTTATGGTCATTTATCTTGGATACGTACCGTCGAAAGCACCCTCGAAACCTTGTAAATTACAAATATTTAATTCCAAACTATGTGACACTTTTTCTGCAATAGAGAAATAGTGTAAATCTAGGTATATAAATAAAGCTAACACTTCTGAGACCTCATCAGCATCACAGCAGATGCCATTGTGTCAAAGTAACTGATGATTAAACACAGAAAAATATGAAGGAGATTTTCCTGGCCATGTCTTTTTATAGCAGATACCCCCCCAAAGAAAACCATGAATCAACATATAGACATTACTTGTACAAACATTGATACTACTGAAAGTGAAAACCTACATAAGGGTTGTTGTTAATGTCTCTGACCAAACACTCAGAAACAGACTACAGGGTGGGCCATTTATATGGATACACCGTAATAACATGGGAATGGTTGGTGATATTAAAGTCCTGTTCAAGTTACGTTGAAACCAAGCACACCATTGTTTTTCTTGTGACATTACCAATAAGTTTGATGTGTCACATGGCCCTCTTCCTATTGAAAAAACAAAAGTTGTATCCAAGATGGCCGACTTCTAAATGGCCACCATGGTCACCACCCATCTTGAGGAGTTTGCCCCCTCACATATACTACTAATAACAGGACTTTAATATCACCCACCCTCTAGTGGTATGTGGGAAGTCTGCCCCACAAATTTTTAAGATTAAATAATATACCATGTTCTGACTGAGGGATTTCTGAAAAATTTAAACGTACAGCTGTGCTATCACTTCCGACATAAATGAAGTCAGAAAACTAAACAGCAATGACGTTTGTAAGGTACTAAAGCTGGGCTAGCGTGCATATAATGATGTGCTATGTGATGGTTAGCATAATATAAACACAGTGAAGTTGGAGGATGAACGCTAATCTTTTTCCATTCAATAAAAGTTAATGTGAGGGTTCCCCATGGTTAGGGACCAATACAACTGCATGGCAGGATGCTGTAAACAAACCAAACTTTAGTCAGGAGAACAACTGAGATTATCCATCCACAATATGAGGTTAGTTTTACTGCTGCATGGGCTGGGCTGTAGTTATGTCATAAGGTTTTAAAAACTGAGCTTTAAAATGAACAGTGGTAATAAAAACGGAGAAAGGCCGACAGTGATCACAGCCTTTTTTAGGGGCTTGTTCATATTAAAGAGAACAAGATCCAAAGCAATAAAACATGTTAAAAACACAACAGCCTTAATAAACGCAGACCAATTTGGACCTGGAAGTAGGGTTCATACTAGGGTTGGGCGATTGGACGAATATATCTACTATCGACAATAGGCTGAGCCCATCAGCGATCGTTTTTATAAGAGCGATTTATTTATTTGTTTGCCCATGAGTAAGTTTGCTAATAATGATGGAGCTAACACTGTTTTAACTCTTTCATCTGCGAGCAAATGCACCCTCCTCAGAGTGTGCCCAAATGCTTGTTGATGGAGCTGCAGAAGCTGGTGATAGCCTAGCATACTCAGCCAGATGGTGGACACGTACCTGCTCATGCAAGTTATGCGCGCATAACACGTCTGTACAAGCAGCACACTGCTTTGATTACATCCTTAGGTTTACCTCTTTCATCCAGTTAAAAGCCAAAGAAATCCCAAATTGGCGAGTTTATACTTAATTTTTTTTTAGTGCTGTCAGCTTTAATGTGCCGTCATCATGACTAACGCGATTAACAATTAACCCATCTGGAGCGCAAACTGAGTCAAAATCCCTGAAATGTCTCTGTCAACACACTTCAGGCAGTTCGTTCAAAGGTTTTTCATTCTGCTGTCCAGATTGGTTGAGCGTGTTAAAAATTTTAATCACGTTACTCGTGACAGCCCTAATTTTTTGGGGGGAAATTAGTTTGTCCATGTCAGTCCGTGCATGACTACATTGCTCTGCCCATCAAAAAGTCTGCGCATGTGCGGATATTTTGCCCATCGTCGATTATTGGACTGACGAGGTGGTACTCATTGTGAAAATTTTGAGAACCACTGCTCTAGTGGGCCCTGCCCAGCACAGTGGAATCCAACTGGCATTTGCCATAGAAAATGCCATAGAATACCAGAATTAGCAGATCCACCACTGGCAGACTGCAGTTTTCACAGATGAGAGCAGAGTTACCCTGAATACATGTGACGGTCTAATTCAGCACAGCTATCCAGCCCATAAACAGATGACAGAGATAAAAAATCTGATGTTTTTAAGTGGGCAGTAATCAATTTTAGGAACTGTAAGGAGCTTAGGAAGAAGGATGCCTTTATGCCATTAGGCTAAAATCAGACAAAATTCGGGTTCCTTCCTGCTGGTTCACCAAGTTTATTTCAAAACTTTGAAGATATTTTAGGAACCTAAAGAAAATACCTATAATAAGAATATACAGCATTTAACAACAACCTCACCACTGGGTGACAGTTTTGATGACCACATTTTTAGTGTAGTTATCAATACCTTCCTAGTATGTTAAGCATTTTATTAGCCCACTGCTGAATTAATTATTCATAAAATGATTAAAAATATGGAATCACCCAATATTTGTCCATTTATGTGCACGAACTAACTAATCAATCTAAGATATGCAACATAATTTTCCTAGTCTTTTCCACAATTATTTAATCCTTTCTCAGATAGCTGTTTTTAGTAGCACCAATTGACTCTTATTTTTTTTATTTTTTTTTATTTGTAGCCAAACATGCTCTCTGTCACACAGTTGCTGCTGGTGGTAATAAGTTGGACTTTCTCTTGAGTTATCACATTCACAAGATTTTCTAAAAACTTGACATCTGACCTTGAGGTCAAGGCTACTGAGATTCAAACTCATTCGAGACTTTTAGCAGACATCAAACTGAAGCTAAATCCCTTCGTTCATGAGTTATCGCGTTCACAACCTTTTGTGTTCATGCCATCTGCTTGCTCATTGCCCAGCAGGTGATGGCAAGACCTTTTATGGCTGAGGGTTAAAAAACTTTAACAGCTTACAAATGAAAAGAAGTTCATCACATCATAATAGCTGACCCACATCCACCCATCCACATTAAGGGGACGGCCGTGGAGCGTGTGAGCAGCTTCAAGTTCCTGGCAGTCCACATCTCCGAGGATCTCATCTGGACGACCAACTACTCCAAGCTGGTCAAGAAGGCTCACCAGGGCTCTTCTTCTTGAGGACTCTGAGGAAGAACCACCTGTCCTCAGACATCCTGGTGAACTTCTATCGCTGCACCATCGAGAGCATCCTGACCAACTGTATAACAGTCTGGTACGGGAACTGCTCTGCCTCGGACCGGAAGGCGTTGCAGAGGGTCGTGAAAACTGCCCAGCGCATCGCCGGAGCACCATTCCTGCATAAAAGACATCTACAGGAAGCGGTGTCTGAAAAGGGCTGGGAAAATCATCGAAGACCCAGTCACCCATCACATGGACTCTTCACCTCCTGCTCTGGGAGGCGCTACAGGAGCTCCGGACTAAGACCACTAGGTACCGGAACAGCTTCTTCCCCACAGCTGTCAGACTCCTGAACTCTGCCTCCTGACATCTGACCCACGTTAACACACGGACTGGACATACACACACCCACAACCACCTACATACACACACAATGGACAACTGTACCCTCAAACACACAATAATAACATGGACTGAACCACCACTCACAACCACTAGCACTTTATATAGCGTCTTAACTGCACTACTGCATAGTTCTGTGTAAATAATCATACGATAATTTTTAATTCTACAACTGTTTACAACCTGCATAGTTCACATTTCTGTATAGCTGTATATCTCATATTTCTGTATAGTTTTTCATATTTATATCCTGTTCATAGCCTGTACATACTTATAGTTATAGCATATTCATAACATACTTCATACCGTGTACATATCACATACCGTAATAGACCCATTTCTGTAATATACTCACATATCTATATCATTGCTAATATATATTGTAATATATCTATATCACTAAAACACTTCTGGATGGATGCAAACTGCATTTCGTTGCCCTGTACCTGTGACATGTGCAATGACAATAAAGTTTAATTCTATTCTATTCTATAATTTGGATAAGAAACAGAAGGTTAGTTACCTTATATTCAATGTTCCCTTCTTCAGCCTGGAAATGTAGAGAAATGTAGGGATAAGGTTAGTTAACACATTAATGATATGAACAAAACTGTTCTAACTATAACATAGATCATGTAGTCAAAGGTATGTTGCCACCCTGGCAACAGTTTTTCAATTTTCAAATCCAGAAGAAAGTGTTCAACTCCCCAGAATGTTGGTAACAGAGACACTCAGCCGTCATTCATCACTGCCAGGATGAACTAAAACACTAGAAGTCGCCACCCAGAGAGGTCACTGTGGGTGTGTTTCTCAACAGCAGGTATATAGCATATAGCAGCAGAATTGTGTCTCAACTACTTGTTTACCTACAACATGCTGTTGTCAGTTTCATAGTATAGGTCTTAGCATATGTATTGACTTAATGTGTTTTCATGTTTGAAAGGTTTTCTTTATATTTGTTTGTCATCTTATACAGTCAGAAAAACACATACATATATCTCTGAATCTGCAATTTGTCATATTTATATGCTGTATTCTACTTATTGGAGGGCAGATTACTCTTTATATACTCCTTACATCTTGGATCTTTCTCTGTATTAGACATACAGACAAAAACTAAGAAACAAAATGATTTAACTACATCGATCTGCTTTTTTCAAGATTTAGTGGACAACCTCAAATTCTGCTTTTTCAACTTTTCAGGGCCTGACATTTTTTGGGCCATTTTCTTAGTTTCTCTTCGCACACTTTTCATTAATCTAGTAATGTATGTATTCTGGATGTATTCATATATGTGTGTGTGTATTCTCATTAAAATCTTGCTAATGTATTTATTTAAGTGAAGCATCAACTCTAAACAAACACTATTACTACAGTCAGGTTTCCAGATGTGCTGTTACATATCACTGTGTTAAGAAAACATACTTTTAGCTAAACATACTTATGTGGCCCCTCCTACTGCATGCCCTTTTCTGACAACCGGATTTAATAATAATAATGGATTGCATTTATATAGCGCTTTTCGAGACCCCCAAAGCGCTTTACAACTCCACTAATCATTCACACACTGGTGGAGGCAAGCTACAGTGGAGCCACAGCTGCCCTGGGGCAGATTGACAGAAGGGAGGCTGCCATATTGCGCCATCGGCCCCTCTGGCCATCACCAGTGGTGAAGTGTCTTGCCCAAGGACACAACAACCAAGACTGTCCAAGCCGGGGCTTGAACCAACAACCTTCCAATTACAAGACGAACTGCCAACTCTTGAGCCACTGATTTAGTGAAATCCTCCTGCAATTTCAGTTTCCTGCGATAAATTACATTGTGATTAATCACAATCTAATGGATTGCTCAGGCCACTTCCTTTATTAAGTGGATTAGTATCTCAATTACTAGTCAATTGCCTTTGCACTGCGTACTTCATTTTAATATGTTTTCTCAACGGTTTGCTATTCCATATATCTCCCACCATTCTTAACTTTGCTCCAGTCGAGCTAAAACGTATTTGACTATTATAAAAATGTAGAAAAAAACACAGATTATTTTGCTGAATTAGTATTGCTAAATTCTTCACTTCACTTTATGAGAATGCGTCAAAATCTCTGGCCTCTGCGTGTGGAATGAGTTTCCTTCAAACCAGACAGCGGTAAAATATTGTTGTGTAAAATCAAGGTCATATAAGAGTATTTTCCGCCATGTTATAGGTAGCTGTATGGTGTAAACAAAGTGTAGCCGCAAATAACCTGCGCTCGACTAAGGTTTGCTACAGTATCACTAGCTAGCTTAGCGGGCTGGAGGTCCCATAATCATGCCCAGGCTATAGAAGGGTAGCTACCTCCGGTGGTAAATACGGCGGTGGCGTTTTGTTCCTGTTGTTCTTTTTGTTCCTCCTTCTCTTTCCTCTTTTGCCTCTTCTCGTTCGCGACTTCTTCGACGTTATCCTATCATTATTACCCGAACCTGATCCCTGTCTGTCTCTGTTGTGTCCGACTGACACTGCACCACCTTCGGACAAATCCACCATCGCTAATCTTGGAGTGTTAGCTCCTAGCTTAGCTTGAAAGCGTAGTTTTCCGTGTAAGAGCAACTCACGGCAGTCAAGTAAAATGTAACACTGCTCGGCGTTGTAACATCACAGCGTATAAAACACACGGCCTGTGTGTGTGAAAACCTACAGTGAAGGATGCTCTCTCCTCAGCATCCCCACAACAGTTGGCAAATCTACTCACGTTTCCGGCTGCAACTTTCAAAATATTTCAGTGGGCGTAACCAGAAACGAACCTAAACTTCAAAATAAATTCATTGTTTGTTTAATGTTATAGTGTAACTTGTGTACTTTTTTTTAATTTATTGTATATTTTGAAAGCTTATCAGATAGTTGCTGGGGTAAAACAGTCCATAGCACTGGACAGAATTTTTTCCTTAAGTCCGTTACTCTAATAAAGGTAAAAGAGATGATATATGAGCAGAATTCCAAAAGAGAAGCATGAAGGAAAAGAAATATCATGGTCCTGGGTCGGTGACCCAGTGTTTTTGGTTGTTGTACTTTTTCTTTTGATATTGTTATGTATTATGCTGTTGTGTTTTGGTTTCCCAGGGTTTCGTTTGTGCTCTCTCTGTTTGGTGTCATCCCTGCCTGTACCGCGGTAAAGTGAGCCGTCATTTGTGAGCCGCGGTCAAGCCAGCCGCCTCCTATCCGCCGCATAAATTTCCTTGCGCTTTTACACCACTCTTTACGGTAGCGCCTTTTCGCTTTATGTGCCGATTGAAAGCCTATACCCGCGCACACGTGCACGCTTGCGCGCGCACAAATTACAATGTAACGTCCCGATACAGTCAATACAATTATGGAAATGTCAGAAATTCATTAAAAATCATCCTGAGTAGTTGATGTACAACTTTCAACACATCCCCCCTCTGGGACACCTACTGTACCTGTGTGCCAGGTTTCAGCCAGATTTACTGTAGAATTCCTCAGAAATTAATGGGTACTTGTATCCAATGCAGTCGGCCAATACACTACAATTGTGTCAATTTTCAAAAATTCATTAAAAATCATCCTGAGTAGTTGATGTCCAACTTTCAACACATCCCCCTCTAGGACACCTACTGTACCTGTGTGCCAGGTTTCAGCCAGATTTACTGTAGAATTCCTCAGAAATTAAAGGGTACTTGTATCCAATGCAGTCGGCCAATACACTACAATTATGGAAATTTCAGAAATTCATTAAAAATCATCCTGAGTAGTTGAGGTCCAACTTTCAACACATCCCTCCTCCGGGAAACCTGCTGTACGTCTGGGCCAAGTTTCAGCCAGATTTACTGTAATATTCTTCAGAAATTGCAGGGAACTTATGTTCAGTGCAAGAAAGGCTGAAAGACGACCACTACTGAACAAGACACACAAGCTGAAACGTCAAGACTGGGCCAAGAAATATCTCAAGACTAATTTTTCTAAGGTTTTATGGACTGATGAAATGAGAGTGAGTCTTGATGGGCCAGATGGATGGGCCCGTGGCTGGATTGGTAAAGGGCAGATAGCTCCAGTCTGACTCAGATGCCAGCAAGGTGGAGGTGGAGTACTGGTTTGGGCTGGTATCATTAAAGATGAGCTTGTGGGGCCTTTTCGGGTTGAGGATGGAGTCAAGCTCAACTCCCAGTCCTACTGCCAGTTTCTGGAAGACACCTTCTTCAAGCAGTGGTACAGGAAGAAGTCTGCATCCTTCAAGAAAAACATGATTTTCATGCAGGACAATGCTCCATCACACGCGTCCAAGTACTCCACAGCGTGGCTGGCAAGAAAGGGTATAAAAGAAGAAAAACTAATGACATGGCCACCTTGTTCACCTGATCTGAACCCCATTGAGAACCTGTGGTCCATCATCAAATGTGAGATTTACAAGGAGGGAAAACAGTACACCTCTCTGAACAGTGTCTGGGAGGCTGTGGTTGCTGCTGCATGCAATGTTGATGGTGAACAGATCAAAACACTGACAGAATCCATGGATGGCAGGCTTTTGAGTGTCCTTGCAAAGAAAGGTGGCTATATTGGTCGCTGATTTGTTGTTGTTTTGTTTTTGAATGTCGGCGAGGATTCCGCACGGCACTCCCCTCCATTCACCTCGCGAATCTCCGCTCTCTTCCAAACAAAGTCGACGAATTACTGCTCTTAAACCGGACTAACAAGGACTTTGCACGCTCTGCTGCCCTCTGCTTCACTGAAACCTGGCTCAGTGAGCGAGTCCCAGACGCTGTCTTAAATCTGCCGAGCTTCCAACTTCACCGGGCAGACTGCGAAACAGAGCTCTCAGGGAAAACAAAGGGTGGTGGAGTCTGCTTCTACATTAATGAAGGTTGGTGTACTGATGTCACAGTGTTACAGAAACACTGCAGCCCACACTTGGAAAGTTTTCTCATCAACTGTAAACGTTTTTATTCACCGCGGGAGTTTTCTTCCTTCATGCTGGTCGGAGTTTACATCCCTCCACAGGCCAACGCGAACAACGCACTGTGCGAGCTGGCTGACCAGATTACTACCCTGGAGAGGAAATTCCCAGATTCCTTTACAATTATTCTTGGGGATTTTAACAGAGCAAACCTAAACTACGAACTCCCTAAATACAGACAGCATATAGACTGCCCCACCAGGGACAACATCATACTGGATCACTGCTACACCACTCTAAAAGATGCCTATCGCTCTGTGCCCCGGGCAGCTTTGGGACATTCTGATCAATGCATGGTCCATCTTATTCCAGTTTATAGGCAAAAACTCAAACGTGCCAAGCCTGTAGTCAAAACTATGAAGAAGTGGACTAACGCAGCAAAGCAGGAACTGCAGGACTGTTTTGACTCCACTGATTGGACTGTTTTTGAAGCTGCATCTGAGAACCTAGATGAGCTCACGGACACTGTGACATCATACATCAGTTTCTGTGAAGACGCGTGTGTGCCAACAAAGACCTTTTGCACATACAACAACAATAAACCATGGTTCACTCCTAAACTCCAACATCTTCGCAAGGCCAAGGAGGACGCCTCCAGAAGTGGTGACAGGGCCCTGTACAAGCAAGCCAGGAACACACTGACCAAGGAGATCAAAGCAGCTAAAAGGATCTACTCCCAGAAGCTGGAAGAACGGCTCTCAGCCAACGACCCTGCGTCAGTGTGGAGGGGCCTGCAGGAAATCACCAGCTACAGACGCCCCCCACCCACTATTGAAGCAAACAAAGACCTGGCCAACGAGTTAAACACTTTCTATTGCAGGTTTGAGACGGACAGACTCCCACGCCCCACCCTCCCCTCCCCAGGGACATTGCTTCAGACATTGACCCCCAACACACCTTCCACCTCTCCCCCTTCACCCTGCCCCTCCCCAATCAAGACTCAACGACCACCCCCACCCTCCCCAATCCAGACTCAACGACCACCACCACCCTCTCCAACCCAGACTCAACGACCTCCACCACACCTCTCACCCCCCTTTCCTCCTCCCTGAAACTCAGAATACACACTCAGGATGTGAGCCGACTATTCCAGAAACAGAAGCCCAGGAAAGCCCCCGGACCAGACGGTGTCTCACCCTCCTGCCTCAAAACCTGTGCTGAACAGCTGGCTCCCATCTTTACTCGCATCTTCAACAGATCCCTGGAGCTGTGTGAAGTTCCCTCCTGCTTCAAACGCTCCACCATCATCCCTGTTCCCAAGAAACCCACCATCACAGGACTGGATGACTACAGACCTGTCGCCTTGACGTCTGTGGTCATGAAATCCTTCGAACGACTGGTGTTAGCCCATCTGAAAGACATTACAGGCCACCAGCTGGACCCTCTGCAGTTTGCCTACCGGGCAAACAGGTCAGTGGATGATGCAGTGAACACGGGGCTGCATTACATCCTGCAACACCTTGACCGCCCGGGAACTTATGCCAGGGTCCTGTTTGTGGACTTTAGTTCGGCTTTTAACACCATTGTGCCTGAACTTCTTTCCTCCAAACTCTCCCAGCTCAGCGTGTCACCAGCTACCTGTCAGTGGATCACCAGCTTCCTGACAGACAGAAAGCAACAAGTGAGGCTGGGGGAGATCACCTCTGAAACCCGGTCCCTCAGTATTGGTGCCCTCAAGGATGTGTCCTCTCACCACTACTGTTCTCCCTCTACACTAACGACTGCACCTCCAATAACTCTGCTGTCAAACTCCTAAAGTTTGCAGATGACACCACTGTCATTGGCCTCATTCAAGATGGTGATGAGTCTGCATACCGGCAGGAAGTTGAGCGGCTGGTACTCTGGTGCAGTCAGCACAATCTGGAGCTGAACACTCTTAAGACTGTAGAGATGACAGTGGACTTCAGGAGACATCCCTCAACTCTGCTCCCCCTCACCATATCAGACAGCCCTGTGTCGACTGTGAAGATCTTCAAGTTCCTGGGTACAACCATCTCCCAGGACCTGAAGTGGGAGACCAACATCAACTCCATCCTCAAAAAGACCCAGCAGAGAATGTACTTCCTGAGACAACTGGGGAAGTACAGTCTTCCACAGGAGCTGCTGATCCAGTTCTACACTGCGGTCATTGAGTCTGTCCTGTGCTCCTCCATCACAGTCTGGTATGGAGCAGCCACTAAACAGGACAGGAGCAGACTGCAGCAGACTGTACGGGCAGCAGAAAGGATCATCGGCGCCCCCCTGCCCTCCATCCAGGATCTGTACCTCTCAAGAACCAGGAAACGGGCAGGGAAAATCATCGCAGACCCCTCACACCCTGCACACAGACTTTTTGATCTGCTGCCCTCTGGCAGACGGTACAGAAGCCTGCAGACCAGGACTACCCGACACAGGAACAGCTTCTTTCCCCTCGCCATCTCCCTTCTTAACAGTTGACCTGTCACACTGCTCCCACTGCCAGACTGCAACTGCACCTTATGTACATTTTGTAGTATTCATTCCACCTCATTCATTTCTGTATTTTATGTATATAAGGTTAGATTCGTTATTTATAGTTGGTTTACATAGCTTTGTGTATGTATGTGTAATGTGTATATATAGACACTTGTGTGTGTGTGTGTGAGATTTACATTGCTGTGCTTGAGAGCCACCATCTACCGGAACCAAATTCCCTGTATGTGTCTGCACATATACAGTACTTGGCCAATAAACACGATTCTGATTCTGATTCTGATTCTGATTCTGAGATGTATATTTGTGAATGTGGAGATGTTATATTGGTTT